TGGCATTATGCAAAAGTGTTTATTCAACCAAGAACAGAACTGTCAAACACTGGCAACATGCCTGCTATTTATACATTTCACCTCTAGGGCATCAACCAATCATAACGCTAGCATGCTCCCACTCAAACTTGAATCTTTTGACATTTCCCTCCAAAACTGTTGGAGGTACCCTAGCTTTACAGCACCATAATATCGCTATTAATACATAACAATTAGGATTAGCAATGAATATTTATGGCTAGTTATGATGGCTAGAGGATGATGATGATGTAACATTAAGTTGGTGCTGAGACTTATATTTCTTCAGGATGGCCTATCTTCAAGTTGGTCCTTCAGATTTTCCTATGGTGCACCCATCACTGCTATATTTAAGGCCTTCTATCTACTGATCATCCTCTTCTTCTCTTTTTTTTTTTTTCACTTCTTTCTCCCAGCATCATAGATTTTGTCAGAAAGCTAGGTCTTCACATCATCTCCCTCTGTGAGGGAGATGGGCAGTTTCTAATTTTAATAAATAAATAAATAATATTCCAAAGTATGACCATTTGAGCTGATAACGTGTACCTAGTGAATATTTTGATTTGGTCTATGATGCTTTTATTTTCTTGCTCTCTTTGGTATTCCCATAAGTCTTTAAAAGTGTAAATACACTTTCTATTCTGCTCTTTCAAAGTCTGATTTTTTACTTCCATGAAGTTACCAAGTCTGAATCAAAATAGAGCTAAAAGGAACATTCGAGGTCAAGGAGACCCTATACTATTTCAGACAAGGGACTGAAATGAAGCACCCACAACTTCTGACAGCAAACTATTTCAGTGTTAATTGCCCTCACTGTTAGGAAGTTTCTCCTTAATTTCAGGTTGCTTCTCTCCTTAATAGTTTCCATCCATTGTTTCTTATTCTGCCCTCTGGTGCTTTGGAAAATAAGTTGTCCCCCTCATCTTTGTGGCAACCTCTCAAATACTGGAATACTGCTGTCATGTCCCCTTAGTCCTTCTTTTCTCTAGACTAGCCACACCGAAATCCTGCAACCATTCTTTATGTTTTTGTCTCCTGGCATTTAATTCTCTTAAATGATCTTCTTTCCACTTTTTCCAAAGTCTCAGCATCTTTTTTGTAATATGGTGACCAAAACTGGATGCAGTATTCCAGGTGTGGCCTTACTAAGACTTTATAAAGTGGTACTAATACTCTTACCTTTGGTTTTTGCTGCCTGGGAATGGGATAACTGATTGCAGCCAGGTGGGCTTTACTATGTGGGTCGGCCATCTGAGTGCCGCAAGGTGGGCATGGGTGGGTGGGCGTGGCCAGATTGCCGCGAAAGATTAAATGCAGCTGTCTCAGTGCAGATGACTCAGGGCAGCTGACTGGGGTGATTGGGTGGGTGTGGCCAAGTGGACACAACCATGTGAATGTGGCTAGGTGGGGGGTACCAGGTGGGTGTGGCCAGATGGGTGCAGAACAAGTCGCCCTGGGCAGCTGCACATGGAGCCAACTCGGCACCCATTGGAACAAAAATCACCCAGAGATGTGCTGGCAAACAGGAAACAAGGAAGTGGCAAAGGGTGGATTCCCCTACTCCATTTGGAGAAACACTTCTTTTCCTTCTTTTCATTGGACTAGCCATACCCAATTCCTGCAACAGTTCATCATATGTGTTAAGACCCCAGGCCCCTAATAATCTTTTCTGCTCTTCTCTGCACTGTTTCCAAAATCTAAATATCTTTTTTATAATGTGATGGCCAAAACTGGATGCAGTATTCCAGAGGTGGTCTTACTAACACTTTGTAAAGCAGTATTAGTACTTCAGCTGATCTTGTTCCTCCGTTAATGCATCATAGGGTTGCATTGGCTTTTCTGACTGCTGCTGCACAGTGCTGGCTCATATTTAAATGATTGTCTACTAGGGCTGTAAGATCTCTCTCACAGTTACTGGTATTGAGCCAGATTTCACCTAATCTGTACCTGTACTTTTTGTTTTTATTTCCTAAGTGTAAGACTTTACTTTTCTCTACATTGAATTTCATTTTGTTAGATAGAGCCCAGTGTTCAAGTCTGTCAAGATCCAGATGATCTTGAGCCTATCATCTGGGGTGTTGGCTACTGCTGTCAATTTAGTGTTGTCTGCAGATTTGATGACTTCCCCTTCTATTCCCTCATCTAAATCATTTATGAAGATATTGAAGAGTACTGGGCCTAAACAGAACATTGGGGTACCCCGTTGTTTACTTACTTCCATGTGGATGTAGTTCCATTAAGGACTACACGTTGAGTATGGTTTGTCAGCCAATTACAAATCCATCTGGTGGTTGTGGTCTACCTCGTCAAATGCTTTACTGAAATCCAAGTATACTTATGTCCATTGCATTTTGTTGATCCACTAATTTTATATTTTAAAATAAATATTTTATGCAGAAAGAGATAGCAGAAATTATTAGAATCCTATCTGCCAGCCATCAGTAGATTCTGGAAAGATAAAAAATGTTGGGTGTTTAATCCAAAGAAGGACAAAATATTTCACAGTGGCATTAATTTTCACACATTGATTTGAAAGAAACTTTCATATTTGCCCATAGCCAAATATGCATACACCTCAGTTCTGTGAAAATGCGGGGGGGGGGAACCACCAAAAGGATTGTGTTAGAATTAAGCTGTCACTGAGGATAAAAATTTCTAGCTTTTGTGGACTTTATGTTATAGTATCCTTGATCTTGAATTTGTTCCAAGAATTCTTTGTTATTGAATAGAAATAATGAAATGCATTGAGTAAAAATGATAAATATATATTGTTTTTTAGACTTAAACTGGGGAAACTGGTTCTTCAGTTGATGAACCAGCTCTCACCAGTGGCTTGCCAAAATGTGATAGGACACTAGGAGTTATAATTTGCAATATTTGAGATAGGTAAAATATGCTGGAATCTTATAAGAAGACAATGAATAGAATTTTAAGAGTCACTAGCCATGCACCTGATTTATATAATGCAAGGGGTCTAAAAACGTGGGACTGCCCATGTGTGAAAGGTTTAAAAAAAATTTAATTTACAGTACATAAATTTAATAGGCACATCTTGTTCTACTAGTGTATTTTAGATTTCAGCAATCTGAAATTTTCCAGATGTAATTATTTCTACTTCCATAATTTCACTGTATCTGGAGACAATGATTTTTTTTATTACTCACATAAAATAGAGGGAGGATAGATATTTAATACAGTACTCCTTACACAAAAACAACATTTTTATAGCAAGTAGTCCTTTATTTTATGTAAAGAATCAAGTCAGATATTACTTCTCATTTCTTCAGTTTCTAAAAATGCTTCATGGTTATCTGTTCCTCATTTTCAACTCCATGTTCTTATCCAGAAACAAGTGCAAAGTTGCACCATTGTTATCGGTTGATACAAATTTTCTTGACCTTTAACCTTGTATTGATATCCAGCAAGACTTTGATATAACACTGAGCATTACTTGGCCAACTAATAAAGTTGCATCAGGATAAAGTAGTCATCAACCCCACCTTTTGTTTTACAGAAATGGTTTTGGCAACTAAAATTATAACTCATCCAATATTGACTTTTTCCTTAAACTTATCTATCTATACAAGCCTTAATTTTAACTTAATTAGTGGTATCTACCAACGGGGACAGGATTTTCAATTTCCCAGCTTTCAGGGCTATATTTCTCTCTGTTAGGTCTAGTATTTGCCCTGCTTTTTACTATCTTAATAGCATCTACAGGTACTTACTTGCATGCCTGCCTTTTAAAATATATCTCTCTCGGCAAATAATCTATATATATCAGAAAGTAGTTTTTCAGACAAAAGTATTTTTGACTTGACTGCTGTTCCAGAGAAATACTGTAGCCAAGTAATATAGACATCACGGGTTCAAAAGAATCACATGAGAGGATTGTAACATGTGGTTAAAGTTGCCTCGCTAGCATCTTGCAGTGTTTTAGTTATTTGGATCATTACATTCCTCATAATATTTGTCAAAGTCTAAGGGAGTTTCCTTTTTTTCTTCAATTAAAATGTACTTCTACAATTGCCTTTGGATATTGTGCTGAAAATTGTAGATATAAGCAATTGTGCAAAAGGGGGAAAAGTTGCTTTTCTTGTAAATGAAAATATCATGCCCCAATGCAGATATTACTTTGAAAGTACAAGTAGATACAGGAAACGTTTGTGCATCTCATCTGGTATCATGCCTTAAATCACATTGTGATATTGGATGCAGCTGATGCAAGCAGAATCATTTTATAGTTTGAGACACTGACACTCCCAGAAGCGAAGAAAGAAGAAACACAAGTACTCTTCATTTCTCTCTCCAGTTATCCTTGCTAGTAACTCTGAATTTCCAGCATTGCAAACAAATAAGTTTCTGCTTCCGTGTAAAACTTGCCATTTTATTCAGAACCTTTCCCACTTTCTGCAGGTTTTGAGTAACAAATCTTGCAGAGATTTTATTTTAATATGACCTTAACTTCCTATTGCAACATGGTTTAAAACTTAGAAAGTTTCCAGGTTGGATTGTGATCTGTTCAGAATGCAAAGGCAAATAAGTTATGTCCTTTTCTCCTCCAAACAGTAACTGTATTTTTTTTAACCTTTTCAGGAAGTAGTTATGAGAACCAAATCACACAAAGTCAGGTGCAGGAAATTTGTAGCCACTCAGATGTTGCTAAGCTACAATATCTAGCAGCTACCAACCACATGATCACTAGGGTAGAATTTAGAAGCCAGGTTTCTCAGTTTCCTATAGACCTTTCTTCACATATAGTTGTTCTTATATAGCACTTGTCATTTTAATTTCCCTTTTGTTTCAGCTAGAGTATTAGACAGGTTTAAACTATTCCAGACAGTTATATTAATTTCCTTCTTCCTCCTAGGTCTGTGAGATGCTCTCAAAAAACCTCAGTAATGAAATTACTCTCCTATGTGCTGGGAAAGTTACACACACAAACTATGAAAGAATAGAAAGATGAGAATCACAGGACAATCTTTTTCATTTTTGTTATGCTTTTAATGAGACACCCAATAAACACATAAGGCATATGGTAACAGTAGGCAGATTAACAATTTCATGTCTGAATCTGTAAACAGCATTGGCACATTTGCTTTGTTGATACACACATACACGCAGGCACACAAGCAGGCACAAGCAGAAGAGGACTTCTTTTCAAATACCATAAAGACTTGAAAAAGCATCTTGAACCATAAAGACACACAAGCTGTTTGTGGACCACCCAAAGCAGAGGAGGTGGGCAGGTGCTGTCACCAGGTAATAGGGGACTATGCAGCCTGCCCTCACTGCCAGCAGCCTTTCTTCATCAGTAACTCCTTAGCTTGGGGGAAATCTACTGTATTTGGCAACAGTGGTGATTCCACAGCTGGCTCTGCAGGGCCAGGATATCCATTGCTTGTCATTCAAGCCTACATCATACTAAAACAATCATGCAAGTAAAAACACCCCTGCTTTGACAAAGGGAGAGCTTCTCCTGCCTTTGAAAGACCCACAATTACCTTGACTTTAGCTTTCATTACTAATATCTCTCCCAGTGGTGATTAAATACTCTTTTGGGGATTTTTTTTTTAGAATAGAATAAAACTGGAAGGGACCTTAGAGGTCTTCTAGTCCAGCCCCCTGCTCAAGCAGGAGAACCTATACCATCTCAGACAGGTGAACCAAGCCTAACAAAATGCCAAATGCCACTTTAAAAACAAAAGGAAAAGCTAATTGATGATAATGAAGAGAAAATATTTTAAATGTTTTTATATCAGAGACTTAACTAAAAAAAAGTGAAACAAATCTTAAAGAATTTGTTTACCTCTGAACTGAGAATTCTGAAATGTTTAAATCTGAGGGACAGTTGAACTCAGTCATCCTGATAATCAAAGACAATACAAAAGGAGTGTAAAGCTTGTTGTTTTACATTCTGGGGTATTTTATCTCTCTATGACCCAAAGCTGACTTTCTTGGTTTCTCAGATGAGAAGTGAAACATTTTTAAAAAAAAAAACCCCAGCAACAACAAGAAAGTCCAGTTGTCTTTTGGGTAAAAAAGCACCTTTGGGACAACCATAGCCTGGACGACTGAGAATCTCCACAGACATCTCTGAGTGACTTTCCCACCAACATCACATACTATGCTATCTATAATTGAGAACATTTACAAAAATTAGAGAGAGATTTCATTCATTCTAGAAGTATTTTTATATCTCTCTAAAGACAGCTGTGATGTTAACTTTGGCACATTGCAAATCATTTCCCTGAGGGAGCTTTGCCTTTGCCTCTTTCACTTCTTTATTTGAGGAGATCCCTAAATAAGGTGGGCTGGTATGAACTGCCAGATCAAGTTGTGGGAGCTGTTGTGTAAGAGGGCTGCTGTTAGTTCATGCCACTGAGGACCACTTCAGCCCTAGGAAACAGGCTTTTCAAAATATGCTCTTTGGGCCTTCAATAATATTCAGGCTACATGTTGCTCATTGAGCAGGAAATATGGCACTTTTTCAATTAAACTGCTCTATCGGCCATACACATGGCAATCTAGGCAGCATCATTTTGGAGTTTTATCTACCAGCTATCTTGAATTCTGCAAGAACACTATCAAGAAAGGCTTCTTGTGATAAATGTTGTCGTTGTATTCTGTTTTATGGACAATTCAAGAAAATCCCCTCATCTCACCCCCACACATTTTTAACTCTGAGGGTAAGCACATTGTTTTAACTAGTTAAGACAAGTGATTTTAATTTTAAAGTGGGGAGAGGAGATTAAAAGGCTTTATTATTACAAATGGCCCATAAAACCATAGTCTGAAATACATACATGCATGCACACACACATACACGCAATCAAGCAAAATAAAAAAGATGATAAAAAGTTCAAGATTACAATATTAATCAGCAAGGCAACAAACAGTATAGTTATAGTGCTTTAAAATTTGATGTTTTCTGTATAAAAGAACTACAGCTGAGTAGTAGTAAGACACAACCACTTTAGCATAAAGATAAAGATCTTTTCTGTTCAGGAAGAACATTTAAAAACTGTCAGATTCCAGCATGAGAGAGCAAGGCTGCAGGAAGGGAACAGGATATCACTTGCTGCTGCTTCGGGTTAAAAAAGTTTTTCCTTTGTGGTGCCTTTGGAAATACATGGAAAGCTATATTTGGCCTATTTCTTCCCAAAGGCACTGGAGCACACTACAGGAAAGAGTTAGTTTTGTTTCAACCAATGGAAAGTTCCACAAATTATACTATTAACAGAATTCAGGTTCTCCATATTTATCATGTGACAGGGGTTCATTAAGCCATACGTCTACTCAATTTAAAAATAGTTTCCAGCCATTAAGGTTCAGAAATAGTGGTCAGGAGATTTAAACCATACTTTCATAGTATTATGCAAAAATTATCTGATGGCTCTCATAAGGAAGGTTGAACGTATCTAGGAGAATTCATTGTATCCGTTAATAGCATCAAAATGTATGCATTTCTGTAATAACACATCCTATTATGCAGGTGTCCTCATTGATTAAGGAACAAAAGCCATCCGTACATTTCACACCATTTCCTTGGGATGGGGCATTCCTTTTTAACAAGTCAACATTGGCAAATTCTTGAATTAGACCTTACTCACTGTTTGGAACAAGGCACAATAAATTGGGAATAACCATGCAGCATATAAGTTCCTTTAAAGGCAAAGCTATTCGTTACAATTTTACAATGATGAGGTTAGAAATGTTTTGGAATGCGATCCCAAATAAGGCACCAGGCAGCAGCAAAGAAGGAAGGAATGGGGGAAAAAAAACATCTAAACCCATGAAGTTTTACAATAGATTCTCTCCCCATCCCACCCTTTCCCCCCATTATTTTGTAAGAGCTTGGGAGACCACAGCTGATCATGTCTTTTTTTTCTCTGTTGTGTTTAAAATAACAAAATTTGGAACTCATTTTCTCTTTCGATCATACAAAATTTGGAACTCATTTTCTCTTTTGATCATACAAAATTTGGAACTCATTTTCTCTTTTGATCATACAATTGGGATCTGTAAACTCCTACTGATCTATAATCTTAAGACCAGAAGCTAAAATATTGGACCTTGGTAGGTCCTGGGAAATGGTTAAAAATATCAAAAGGTATATGGTTGTGTATAAAATAAGTGGCAGAAGAAATGCCACATCAGATAATCAGAGCTACAGCCTCATGCTCTAGATTAGTCTCCAATATCTATTGAGTCACCTGCACATCAGATCAGATTTTGCATTTTCTCCTCCCAATGCCCTTCAGATTTGGAACCTGGATATTCTCTCTACTGGAAATGCTGAAAGTTGAAGTTCAATATCTCTGAAGGGCTTCAAACTGGAAAAGTTGCATTTGACTTAAATGAGTGGCTGGCTGACTAACCAGCTGTCCTTCTGTAAGGTATGAAGTTCTAGGAATTTGCCTCACACTATATTAAACTATTAAAAAAACATTGAAAGTTTTTGGGCCAACATTCTTCCCCACTCTCCTAACTTTATCTAGCATGGTTTGGATTTGGAATTACCTGCACAAAAATCATATGCTCTAGCACTGAGCATCGTTTCCTTGAAACAACCAACTATTTGGTTCTTCCCAATTCTAGGGTCCCATGAATTAATTGGTATCCTGTACTATATTATCTTTCATAGTAAGAACATGGCAAATTAAATAATGTTTTAAAATGCTTGGTAGCCTTTGTTTGAGCCTCTAGAAATGATGTACTCATCAATCTCAAAACATTTATACAAAATAATAAAAGGAATGATCCACAGTAAGAAAAATCACTTCCAGAACTTCCGTCTTTTGCTTAGAACCCTCCAGTGGATGTTTGGTATTCCAAGCCAGATTTTCTCCACAGTGACTATACAAGAAAAACAGCCAAGGTGTATTAAAATAGCCTTCTCAAGGTATATTAAAATAGCCTTCTTTACTGGAATATATTTTCTTATTGATTCCATAATAACAAGATGGCAACCCTTTCAGCAATTGGATGTTTGGGAAGGAAGAGAAAATATTTATATTACATTGAAGGTAAGATGTCCCATTTTATGCTTTTTTTTTAAAAAAAAAAATGAATCTCTGTCCCCTGTACCCCCAATTACGTATCAGGAATGAGATGCAGTACTAAAGATTGAAAAGCTGTAGCATTATGCAAGAATTGTGAAAATGTTCTAATCACAAAACAGACATGCTAAATAAACATAGTCCTGTAAGCTGAGGATCCCCCTAAATAATACGAGCAATCAAGGGCTGATGGGCCAAAAGGATGTCAAAGATGGTTTCCATTCTCACACACATATATTTGTCTCAATGAAATGGTCTCAACGTTTTCGTAGATGGCTTTCTGATGGCTGAAAGAAAAAGAATTACCAGAAAGAAAAATACTTAGCTGATACAATCTAGGCCAATAAAAGACATAACATTAGATTTAGGATTTTTCTGCCACACCTAACTGTAAGAATCAAAAGAAAAGGCTGAGGAAGCAATTTGGGACTCTTGCCTTTTCTTGGATATTTTGTTTACTGGAATATGAAGGATAACAGCCTCACCCAAAGTAGATTGGCAACATTCAGGGAAAGAGGAGGAACTTTAGAAATGGATAATTCAAAGTGCTGAGAAATACTCTGAGGATCAAATTCCTAAAATAGTAAAAATATTTACTGACACACATACACAAACATCCTCTGAAGATTCTCAAGGAAGAGCTTTCAGAAATAGTGGTTAATGAAATAGGATCTGACTTAATCTATTCAACAAAAAAAGTCTTCAGCAGAAATAGTTCACGGATACATTCTCAAAGTGACCAATTGATTTTTTTCATCTCAAGATAGAATCCTACAAATCCAAAAATCTGTTACTATTTCCTGCCCAATCTGTTTCTTGTACAGTATTGGTCCTATTGCCCTTCTTCTACAGCATTAAAATATTAAGAGAATATTTCATCTGCAGTGAGTCATAAGCCTGACCTAGGCTCATCTTTGATATAATTTGCAAATCACTGGCACAGATGCACATCTAGATATTTCTGATCTCAAAGTTAAATAACAATTGTAAGAGGGAATAATGTTACTAAAGTATTTCTCCTATGTTTGACTAAGAACATCTCTGTTGTTTTTATAGTTAAACCTTAGAACAGCCTCATATCAAGCCAAAAGCTGGAGAGAACAAACATGATATTACTATTTTGAGATTACAGACTACTCAGCTGTTTAGTACTATTAAATATATGTCTGTCTATATAACCCATTAATTGGAAACAGTATTTGTCTCCAAATGAAGCCATATTTGGAGTCTTCCAGCTTCCTTCACTGGCAATTCCTTGATTTCCCATACTTGCATTCTCCATATTAGATTTTGACCAAAAAAAATGATATACTAGCTTTGGCTACATAGAACAGAAGACTTTCATATTGTAAGAAGCAGTGGTAGCTTTCTTACACAAAGGTAAATGAATACCCCAGAGACAAAATTCCCTTCCTCACACCTCCCTCCAGCTGCAGGATATCTAGTGTGTTGTTTATTAAATGTGTCCTTCCAAAGTAGCAGATTCGAAGATTTGTTTCTATGGAAACCATCAATAGCTGTCAATAGCTACTAAAACAATGGGTGTTTTACACATTTTAAACTTACTAGTCATTAAGTATTCAGAGGTAAACTAACAATGACTAAGGAGAGAAGATGTCATAGAGACAAATAACATAGCTAGGAATTTTTGAACAGTGTGTGAATTTAAGATAAAGAAATCCGAGATATTGCCAATTGATATGTTTGTGTTGTATACTTTTCACTTCTTCAGATAATTCTCTATATGGTTCCTTTAAGAGCAAAATATCAAGATTGCAAAAGAAGTGCTGCATTTCTCTTTTAAACTAGACCAGGGGTAGGCAACCTTGGCTCTTTTATGACTTGTGGACTTCAACTCCCAGAATTCCTGAGCCAGCATGGCTGGCTCAGGAATTCTGGGAATTGAAGTCCACGAATCATAAAAAAAGCCAAGGTTGCCTGTCTGCCCCTGAACTAGACCAACTAATAATTTCATAGGAATGGGGCAATCTTTTAAGTTCCACTCTGTAAAGATTTTATGAAACCCAAAAGCTTGCCTCAACTCTAAATGTTCAACTAATCACAAGAAAAGACATTTTTTCTTCAGTCCTTATGTCACTTACTCCATTAACAGCATTGAGAGACCTGTCCATTCCTACTTCCCTCAAGGGTCAGATGTAGGGGGGGGGAGGGGAGGCAGTTAAAAAAAAAGTTCCCCAAATCAACCTGAGGTCGAACAGTTCACCCATGCCCCTTGCTTTAATTCTCTGTTTTCTTGTTTTCATCCTTCGGTGGAACTTCAGGAACCAAGACAACTTTCCCAACATTCTTCTTCTCTTGCATCTGCTTCATGGCATCAACTACCTGCATCAGAAGAAGGACCACACCACTTCATTCCTTGTGACCAAGAAGAATGCATCCAGGGATGTATGTCAGACTTTCCCAAATTAGCTATACTCATCATTCTCTAATTAATACATGCTCACTATTCACTAAAGTCACACATGATTTGGAGTTTGTTTTTAGTAGTATCTGCCTTGAAAGAGAAGCATGTACATGAGGGAGAGGGAGTGTTGGTCAAATGACTCAGCCACTTGCTTGCTTACTCACTTTTTAAAATACTTTCTGTCATCAGAAGGCCAAATGCAAAATCAGTCAAAGAAGGCTTTACACAAACTTCAACACAACTTTGGCTTCTATACATTCTTTACATGGTCTTTGCCCTTGAAAAGTCTGCCAGAATTTTTTTATGAACCTGCCTTCCCCCAAGCATTTAAAAGGCAAACCAAATGAATGTGATCTATATACTGGACATTCAAATGACACTATTTAAAGAGTATGGCAGATGGCCAGCAGGCATCTAACATTCTGAAATCATTCCTTAAAGGTTTTGGAAATAATTGCTGGGATTGAAGTCTGTAATGATGTCAGTTTTTTGGAGGGAAATAAATTAAGCTAAAGGCAGCAACTTTTTTATTATGGAACACAAGATATGAGAATAACTCATTGGGCAGCCAAGCATTCTTACCTGTTCAAAAGGCCAAACAGAATCCACCTTTGGTTTGATTTTGCCCTGATTGTAGAGAGCAATTAGCTTGGTCACCACAGCAGTTAAAAGCTCCATTTCCTCCTCAAGGTAGCCCAGGTGGTAGCCACAAACTGCTTTGTTGAGATGAAGCAGTTGCAAGGCATTGATGCTAAACTGATTCCACCAGGTCTTTGCCATAGCCATCAGGTTCTTCCTCTGTCCTGTTAGCAAGTTGGCTACACCTACAAAATTGAGAAATATCCTCAGTATAGTAACTTTGGCAACGATGTGTGGAAAATCAAGATGACTTTTTCTTTAAATGCAAAGTACTGCAGCATAGGAGCAGGCTACAATTCTCATTCCAAAAGTATATTCATGTATTAGGAATTTATGTTCCTTGTAATTTAATAAAGTATCTGCAAGAAGTTGAGGACATTGTAAGCTACACTAATATATGTCAGTCTAACTCAATCTACCCCTGCCCTTTATATAAGCAGAGGAAAGTCTATTTCTGTCTCAACAACAGAATAATAGCTTGCAAGGATGGGATTTTGGGAAAGATTTTCCTTTCCCAAAGCACACACAAACACACCCTTTTTTTAATGGTTAAGGAACCAGATTAGAAACTAGGGATTGTGAGTTCTACTCCCACTTTAGGCATGAAAGCCAGCAGGGTCTTTGGCTATTTGCTTTATCTCAGCCCAACTCGTCTCACAGGGTTGTTATTGTGGAGCAGATAGGAAGAGGAAGCTATGTTGGATATGTTCATCACCTTGAGTTATTTGTAAAGATAATAAAGACAGGATAAAAAGATATCTAAAAAGAACACATTTCACTAATCTTGACACTGCAAAGTGACCTCATTTAGGCACACTTATTCTCAGAGTCCAGATCTGATCTTTGGGATTTAGAAGATGTTGAGACTCAACTCCTGATGAATTCCAGCTTCCCTTTGATGGAATGCTTTCTGACTCACCATAACTGACCAGCTTGCCCATTGGTTTCAGGAGATGAAAGCCTTTTGTGGTATCTGAACCTCCTAAGGGGTCCAAAACAACATCTACACCTAAAAGTGAAAAGAGGAAAAAGAAAATAGAAATAGTTTAATGGGAAATTTCAACTGAAAGGAAACAAAATTCCCCGTGAGGCATTTTCAGTTTAAGCAAGTTTCAATAATTTTAATGTCAGTTACTTTTAATTTTACTATTAAGTTTTGGTAAAAAAAAAAAAGTTAAATAAATCAGCCTCCAATATAAACTAATAATTTATTCAGATCTATGATTTAATCAGCCATAAATATGTAAGCAGAACATCTATACCATTTTCTCACATTCTCTTTATTTTTACTATTATTTATTTATCTACCAATAAATCCAAGGGTGCTGCCTATGATTTCAATTTTCCTTTTTCCTTTCATTATAATAATATCAAGAAAAAAGGAAAATAATGCTGATACAAATGTTGATTTTAAAGAATATAGGAATTAGAGAGATAAAGGGAAAACTAATATAAGCATTAAAATATGGGTGGATAACTAAAACAATTTGAATAACTAATTCTTACGACTAATAACAGCAATGTAAGAAATTTGATATGCCATTTCTAGTTAAAACATGTCCCTATTGAAATGTAAAAATATGTAACGGGGAAAACAGAAATCATGACAGGAAAAAGAAAAGCTAAAAATATACATACAATAGAAAAATACTATAAGTAATGTGTAGGGCAGGCTACATATCAGACTGAAACATTAACTCTATAACCCAGATTTGTCACAACTCCATGTATAGAATTGTAATCCAAAAATTATTTCCAAATAAGACTGAATTGTACCTAAGATTAGATATGATTTTAGATATCAAAGCATATTCACACAGTTTAGTTAACCATTCTTACATAGAGGGAACAAATCTAGTAACATTTGGATCTTAAAGTTTGCTCCCAGTTTGATATATATTGATTAATCTGGATAAAGATATGGCCTGAGCAGATTTCAGAATGAATCCAGTAATCTTCATCCTTGAAAGACTGATTTTAGATTGATAGCTCTACAAAGCACCACCAAATCACGTTATTTATTTAAGCTGATTAAAAAAGTTACCCTGATTAAGCTGGGCTGCAGTTATAATGAAAGTTCATACCATAACATGGGCTGTCAACTTTGGAGACCAACATTTCTCAAAAAAAAGAGAGAGCCTCTTTTAAGAACCTGCAGTGACACATCAACCCTATCATCACTATCACCACCCTGATCATACTTTCTGTTTGACATTTTTCTGCACATTTTGGCTGATTTGTTTAACTTCAATTCATATGATTAGTCATGCTCTGCAAGTTAAAAATTAAAACTCTAAATAATAAATCATTCAAATTATGCCAGTTCATCAAGCACCTTCTTTTTAGCTCCCATAATACCAGAGTGTCCCAATGAAAGAAATTTCAGATGGTCTTGCTCCACCCCATCCCTTTCTTCAGCCTCTACTAACCTTTGGGAGAAATTTTCCGGACTTCAGCCACATAATCAGCTGCCCGGTAATCAATAGGGTGAGTCACCCCATTCTCTTTGAGGGCTTCATGCTTGGAGGAAGATGCTGTGCCAAAAATGGTGACATTTTCCACGGTTTTGCAGAGTTGGACTGCTGCAGTCCCCACACCACCTAGAGAAAGAGGGAAGTGGGTCAAGTGCGTAGTGAAAAAGGCCTGCAAGCCAAAAAATGCAACATTTTCCATTCATTAAAAAAGTCAACATGGATTATCCTCACTAAACTTACATGTTTCCATTCTAATGGAAATTAAATCAGTGGAAGATGTTCTCAATAGTACCATAAAATGGGCAAAGCATGAAGACAGTGTTAACACAAGGAAATGTATGTGGTGCTGTTTAATGGTCCTGACTATCTCCCCACTATAATCCCTGAGAGCTGGATAGATTGTGAGTGAACTTCATGGAATAAGGACAAACATCCAGCTGTTATTGGATCAACCCCATATCATTTCTGACATTTAGTCATACCATTGGTGTAGTCCAGCAACATCTGAGGTTCTTAATTTCTCTGTCCCTGCTTTATAAGCATTGTACTGTAATTCAGAGTTTGGGAGCAGAAAAAAAATGCATCACATTTTACATTCTTATACAACATATAGTGAACAGGGTAGCTGTATTTGTACATCAAAGTAAAGCAAGAAGAGGCAACTTTGGGGGCTGGTAACATGCCTGGAACTTTAAAGTGCCTGAGGCTATGTATGTATTATGTATCATAATACATAACGCTATTCTGTCCCATAAATATAAACACTGTGGCTGCTGTTTTTTTTTTGCAGCATATCAGATTCCCTTAAAAATAATAAAGGGATCTTTATTTTTTTTAAAATAGTCCCAATCAGGGGGTCTAGTATATAACAAGAGAAGGTACAAACAGATTATCTCTATGCCATGATTTGCTTAATTAACCCAATAGCCAAGTTTTCATAATAAGCTGAATTGTAAACTAACCACAATGGCTATGCACTAACCACAAACTATCCAACCATGTATTAGTTTTATGTCATGCAATATTATAATCCAATGATTGTGCCTTATGAATCTCCCCCCCATAACACTATGTAGAAACAGACCATTATGGTATGTTCAACAAGCCAAAATGAAAAGAAACTATATCTCAAAATGAGGTAGAATGTTTCTGTGTACAAAGGCCATGTGCCACATTGTTTGACAGGTTGAGTACACCTTACATGTAAGAATGATGCTAGGTGAACAGAATCCATGTTTCTGAAGTTTTTTTTAAACTATTAAATGCCCTTTGTAGGGTGGATATCAGTGTTTATACATGTTTCCATTTCAAAATGGGATGAAACTTTGCCATCAGTTTTTACCAATTATAATCACACATAGAAAATATTCAGGGGGAAATTGCTATGGGGATTCAAGATTGCCCATCCAACTTAACAGCATTACGAATCCAATTTATGGCTGGGGAAAAATAGTTTTCCAACCACATGAAATTTACGAATGGCTGACTACAGTGTATGTCGAGCACCCAAATTTTGATCACATGACCATGACAATACTGCGATAGTCATAAGTGCAAGAACTGATAGTATGTCACTTTTTTTCAATGCCATTATAACTTCAAACAGTCACTAAATGAATAGTTTTAAGTCAAGAACTATCTATGGATTATGTACAGCCTTGTTTTAAACCATGGTTAGTGAATAAATCATAAGTAGCTGGTTCACAGAGCACTCTAAGTCATAAACCATAATTTAAAAACTACAAAAACTGAATTCTCTTGAGTCAAAAAGAAAGTTATTTTTCAGTTTAGTAGTACAAATGCATAAATCCAACTTATATGAACTTATATCAGATGCTCTTCATAATGTAACCTATGTCAATGCTGTGACAATGGATGTCCACGCTTTGACAACTGAGATTCAGCAGCCATTTTATCTTTGATTTTAATGTGCCTTTTCTTTTCTTTTAGAGCTTAGATGTAGAAGGGGGGATGGGGTAAATACTTGAGGGTTTAGCTAGCCATAATAATGCAGAAGTGTGGGAACTCAAGAACATTGTCTGATAATTGGGGAATGTGATTTATGACAGCTTTTGTGGGGTGGGAATTGCAACATTACTTTGTATCTGAGGTGGAGGGAATCTCAGTCAAAATGCCGATACTTTGTTTCCTGAATAAAATGTTTTTTGAGAAAGAAACTCTTGCCTTGAAGTTCTTTTAATTGGTTTCATTTATCGGAACCATGACAACCTGTTTTACTTGTATCTATGATATGTTAGTAACTTTTAGCTAAAAATCTCTCAAGAGATTTTTTGCATCAAGAAGATGCACAAAAAAGTAAAATACTTGCAAATAAATGTCCCAACAGAATAATCAATTAACAATACCAGAGGTAAATACTGTCACCGTTTAAGCATTCTGAAAGGTCGGATATACTATTCCTTGACTTATAAGCATAATTGAGCTCAAAACTGATATCGCTAAGTGAGACAAATAAATTTCTTGTCACAATTGTTAAGTGAATCACTGCAGTTATTAAGTTAGTAACAGGATTGTTAAATGAATCTGTCTTTGACTTTGCTTGTCAGAAGATCACAAAAGATGATCACATGACCCCAGGACACTGCAACCATCATAAATTTGAGTCAGTTGCCAAGTGTTTGAATTTTGATCATGTGACCATGGAGATGCTGGACAGTCGTAAGTGTAAAAAATGGTCAGAAGTCACTTTTTTCAGTGACTATTGTAACTCCAAACCATTACTAAATAAACTGTTGTAATTCAAGGACTACCTATACATGTAATACATGAGTGTAAATACATTAGTATTGTAGAGCAGGAGAAGACTTCAAGATCCATGTTGGAAGTGACTTCAATACATTGCAAGAACAGAAGGACAGGTTTTGTTACCTGCTGCCATGTGGACAAGGACACTCTGGTCGGGGCGCAGATTGCCAAAGTCAAAGAGAACCATGTAGGCAGTGATGTAATTGACCAGAAAGGCAGCTGCTTCCTCAAAGCTCATTCCTTCTGGCATGAGAAAAGTCTGATTGGCTTGGACTGTCACAATTTCTTGCCAGAGACCTGACCGGGCCATCACCATTACCTTATCACCAACCTAGCAAAAACAAAAGAAAACAAAACAAAAAAGATAATTGTAAAAATTAAGACATCCAACACAAATTCAGGAGTATAAAAGGCTAAACTTGAAAACAGATCTCAAGCCACCCACTGCACATCTCTAGGCAATCTTTATAAATGCAAAGTTTGCCCCGTGTCTTTTACACTCTTACAATGAGATTTATCCATGAACACCAGGATGCCATCCCATTTATAAGTCAGCCCAAGAGTCTGTTTCAAGTTAGGCATACACTTATACATTAGAAAGCAAATTTTGAAACAATCCTTTGCTAAGTCTGCACTGTGTCAATATTGTTGTATATTAAGAAAAAACCTATAAGGCTCAGGTGAGTTAAATTTGATCTGAGGTTTCTCACTGGAATCTTTTTCAGAATGACTTTCATTCAAGAAATCCACCTTTTCTACTGAAAACTCCTTTGAAATTTGGTTGACTCAGGGAAAGGATTGTGTATTTCCTCAAGAGAGGCAACTGTCTGCTCTTGGATGTTGTGCTACCTAAAGAAGCATCATGAAATTAGCTGATCACTTTTCCATTAAAAGGTCCTGCTGTATTTTAAACTAGAACCATGTGATCAGCTAATAATATATATTTGAAAAGAAGCCTTAATATTTTGAGTAGATAGATCTAAAACAGTGTTTCTCAACATTGGATATGTATAAGTTAAAATATATTGATAAATGTCTTAACGGATTGAGTTATAACTAGCAATGTATTAATTTGAATGTGATATAATAACCAAGGGAAATAGAGAGGAAAATTTTGATGATGTAACCTGACATATGTATGAAAGAGCTTATTATTGGATTATGGATTACCCAATCACCATGTTGCTTCTGTAATACTTGGATTTTTGTAAAATTGGAAAATCAATAAAACTTGTTTAAAAAAAAACATTGGCAACTTAAAAGATATGTGGACAAAACTCCCAGAATTCCCTAGTTTAAAACCAATCAAGCATCTAGCATGAATACTAGCATGGATAAGTTCTTTGCTTCTTGCTCATGCTACATTACAGGGGCAGGGTGCAAGGGTTTCTGGAGGTGACCGTGCAAACAACACATCTTTCTGGCAGCATTTCCAGATTTCCGCTAGCTCGCCACGAAATTCTCCTGTTGAAAGAAAACACCACCATTTCCTGTGCAGAGAGGAAATCCTGTGTTTATTTGGCTCTGGTATCAGGAAAAAGAGTAAGACTGAAGCCCTGCATCCTTCACCTTCTGCATGAACTGCTGTCTTCAGTATACTCATAAATATTCTAGACTTGAGTTTAAGATCAAATATCAAATTTCACCCTTGACCAAATTACAGCTCCCTCCATTTCTCTCTAGATCAGTTTCTAGATTGTTGTAATTCAACTTCTGAAGAGCTGCATTTATAAACGAAAAATCTATGCTTCAGTCATATATTTCAGTTCGCCTCCATATAAATTAGAATTACAATTTCCAAAATTTCCAACTAATCAGTCATTACTCAGTTGTTTCCTTTTGGTTGATGGGGCACTTTTCTACAGCTCTTTATTGCTGAAGTATGCAGAACAATCCCAAGATTTCCTTTCCTGTGTTCATCTATTTCTTTTAAAACAGTTTTAAAAGAATTTCTGCATTCTTTTAATGAGAGTTCAAAACATTATTTACATGCTGTTTTCCCCCCAGTATGGAAAACGAAAATACAATACAACTTGTGAAAAGCATTTCCTACTACAGAAACATACCTAGTATTTCCTTTATTATCTCTAGTTCTAATGTAATTATTTAGAAAGCAGTATCTGAATTATTTCCTGTAAATACACTAGTAGACTTATGGCTTTTTTCTCTTAACAATTTGCTACTTGCCTTATAAACTTGTAAATCTATAAATTTTAAAGACTTGTGAGCCATAAAAGCAGATTCAAAAAATGGATTTAGTAAGTCTTGGAAAAATTTATGTCTTTTAAGTATTTTCAGATTTCCTAGATTTCTTTCAAAATATTTCCAACCTAACTTTAACATAATGAAACAATATCAATTTCTAGGACTGGTCTTGACAGCCAGATTTACATGAAAAGGAAGAATCAGTAGTTCTGGGAGAATATATTGCTGAAAGAATAAAATATCAAAATTCAGTGTCAAGGACTAATTGGGATAAGAGAGAAAAGGAAAATCAAGGGATGGGGAAGGAAACAAAGTGGCTGAAAATTTGAACAAGCTATTTCTATATTGCAGTGTTTTGTTGCAAGGCCTACTTGGATGTGATTAGTGACTGCAAGCACAAAGAAGACAATAAAACGTTCATCAAAATGAATCTGTCCATCCTTCTTCCTCTGCAGACCAGATTAAGACAATGCCCTATTCCCTTTAAAAAGTAAGGAGGCAGAAATAATTATTAAATGCCAGGGAGCTTTGTCTGAGATCTGCTGCCTGTTTTCCCAGCATGATGCCCATTTATTCTATTTAGCAAAAAATATTGTCTGTTGTAGAAATAAAGATTGTCAAGCTTATTAATATTCCAGGCAATTTGGCAAAGACTTTTCCTTCCTTCTGCAAGAATCCAAAATGCAACACATGTATTACAGCTGGATTGCATTCTAGTTATTATTGCATCTATCCAGATGAGGATTTCATTGTGCAATTGCCCTTGCCTCAGTCATGACATTTTATAGGTGGTTTAGACTCTAGATAACATGGCCTTGTGCTTGTCACTTTCTTACATGTGGCCATCATTTTTTCCACCTTTCTTCTAATTATAGAAGAATAATTTAGGATATCTAACATTGCCATGTAAAATTCATTTCAAGTAGCCAGACATTGATAATGCCAGGAGACCTTTATCTTAAAGCATTTTAGGATACATTCCTACAATATGCTAAGCCAGTTTACGGCTTGCCTTGTCATATCAGCTAAATCTGAAAGATAGTTGTTAAAACTGTAGAGCCTTCTGAAATCTTAATTTCTTTTAGCCATGATACAGCCTGTGTGTGACAGTTACTGCAATTAACCAATAATTATCTTTTTCCTGGCCTCTAGAAATAAAGGAGAAATAGTGGTAAACCATTCCCCAGTGCTTACTAATCTGGTTTCTTTCTCACAAAGAGCAGCTGAGGTTTGAGTGTTGTCCATTTGGAAAATAAGATGCCCATAAAAGAATTAGCCTAGTGTCTCCCATACGAATCAGATCAAGAACAAGTGTACTTTTATTCCATATAGAAAAGAAAAACTGAAAATAAGATCTGGCCAGCCACTGCAAGTGTCACTAGAAAGGGAGGATTTGCACATCATTGATGGCCATGTTTTGCTATAGGCCTTTGGGCTATCCAACCTGCCTGTAAATCTCAAGCTACAAAATAGCCAACTAACACAGGGATGTGCACAAATCCAATTGGTGCATTGTGAAAGTCCATAAAACTCAGCTAATTGGGAAAACATTGATTAACCATTGTTAGCATTAGCTTGTTCTGCATCTGCAGGCTGTGGCAAAGTCCATTGCTCACTGTCAACACTAAATGTAGTTTAGCATTTCTTTCCATACCTCATAACAGCAAATGTATCAATTTAATTCTCAAAAGACCTTGCTACACTCAAATAACAAAGATGCATTCAGGCTCCTATGTTACCTCTTTTCTAATCTCCTTTACCATCACAGCAAGTAGCAGATCGATGATCGAGGAATATCAGAAACAATTATTTCTGTGATATATTTATTACAGAATCTCAAATCAATTTCAGTGTTGTGTATTATCTAATTTTATTAAGGGAAAAATTATTTATACTAAACTCAAAAATACTGTGTATGGATTGGCTTACCATGTAAAAAAACGTTCTGTCTCTGCTCTATTGCAGTTCTCTATCATATTTTTAGATGGGTTCTTTTATACTCATTTTTTAAAAACTAAAATACAAGTTTAGTATTCATGCAATATTAGGAACAGATTATCTGGGATGTAGGCTAACAGAACAGAATTGTTATTCTGTTGAGAGGGACCTTCGAGATTTTGCAATCCAGCTGTGTGCTCAAGCAGGAAAACTTACCATTTCAGACAAATGGCTATCCAGCCTCTTTTTAAAAGCCACGAATGACAGAACACCCACAACATCTGAAGACAAGCCATTCCACTGGTTAATTGTTCTCACTGTTAGGAAATTTCTCCTTAGTTCTAGGCTGGAAGTCTCCTTGATTAGTTTCCATCCATTGGTGCTTTGAAAATAGGTTGATACTTGAATGGTAAAACTAGAGTTTTCTGTATTTCTTTGCTGCCACCTACCACTCATCTAGAGTTTTGTAGCCTCATCTAGAATTTTGCAGCTCTGCACTGAGGGCTTATTCTCACATTCTTTTAGTGCAGCATGAAGGTACACCACTAAACATTTTTTAAAAATATGTCTACATACCATTGCTTTTGTCTTGTCCCACTTCAACACAGGGATGGGCCTAAATTCATCTGCAGCTATTCTTGGCTTTGTATTTTCTTCTGACACAAGACTGACACAAGATAAATAATCCTTGACCACCAGACCATGTCATCACCACAGGATGCTGTGAACATGCCAAGGTTGTTTTTTCTTGCAGGTTAGTGATGCATCACAGCCAGTTGATTCCATCAATCATTTGTCCTTAACTTGTCCCGCATGAGAACCAGAAGATCTAGACTAGGGGATGGCATGTTAAGATGCAGTGGTATCTTATTGGCCACCCATCTTACCACTGTCTGTGATAAAATGGGCTGCCAATAAATTTAATAAATAATTAAACATGGCTGTGAGGAGTAGCCTTTACCCTTTTTATAAAAATAAACTCTGTTAAGAACTCAGTAAATTATAGTTACATTTGCTTTCAATATAACTGCCCACCTGGCAGTTTGAAAGCATGCAGATGGGACTTCCGGTGGATTTTGCGCGCGCGATGGCGGCTACTTTGTAGCCGTCTCTCCTGGGTAAGTGTAAGAACCGCTATGAACAGCAGACACCAGCTGTTCAGCGGTTCAAAATCCCCCTCCCGGGCAA